TATGGGAAGCCTCCATGGTCATATTCGGCATCAGCATGCTCGATAACCTATAACCCCTATAATATTTTGGTTCAAGACCTTCAGGTTTAACTAGAGGCAAGAAAGGGTTAACTTGGAACGAACAAATAGACTACGTAATTAACAAACTAAGTAAAAGGATTTGAGACATTTTGAGAGCTTTGCAAAAGACACTGGCACGACCGGCTCTTAGACAAATATACTTATCCTATATTTTGGTCGTTATGGAGTATGAACTGGTCTTATATAGTAATACAGCTCAAGCTAATGTAGACCGATTGCAAAGCCTTCAAAATGAGGCACTTCCGATTATATCTGGAGCGTGTCGCGGTACGTGCATCAATAAGTTACAAATTGAGCTCGGTATACCATCTGTTAGGCAAATAATTCAATATTCTAAATTAAAATTCATTCATAAAATTATACACAATCAGCCTCCTTCCTACCTGAGAAGTCTAATTACATTAAAAAGAGACACAAAAACTAGACAGACGCGTCACTATGTACCAATAGATATAGTTTCTCCAACATCCAACACATCTTTTGTAGATAGGTCAGTACTGGTGAACATCATACATGACTGGAACAAACTGCCCTACGAAATGCGATCAGATACTGAGAACTTCTCTATAAAATTGAAAAGTCTCCTAAGTTTTCCATCTCGATCACCAGTTTGGTATAATGTAGGAAGTCGGATAAATGTTATCCATCTGACCCGTATACGCCTAGGCTTTAGCTTTCTATTAGCAGACCAATATAAACGTCATTTCGTTGCGACACTAAATTGTAGTCATTGTAACTAGTCTGAAACAGCTGAGCACTACTTTTTAAAATGCCTTCGATTTGTCCAGGAAAGATATATATTGTTGAATAATATAAAATCGATTACCGCAATACCACCAACTACTGAACTCATTCTAAAAGGGTCAATTAATCTTACCCCAGAACAAAACATCCTTATCGTAAATAATGTCCACAAATACATCGTTGACACTAAAAGATTCACTTAACATTCTTTACTTCTTGTGCTACTCTATCTGTTGTTATATGTAGAGAGGAAAAGTTTTTTGTATATTACAATCCTCGCTAAATAAATTAAACTATGCTAACCTAAAATGAACCACCACCCTTCTGATCGAAGCCCCGATTTGAAAATGTATCTTTATTGCAGCTAATAGGTTTTCTCCTTATAAACAACATACCGAGAAGCGAAAAATGCTTTCTGTTAAAAGTCTTTCCGATTTTTTCTCCTAATTGGATTTATTTTCCCCTTTTCGAACATCGACAGACGGCAATCCTGGTACTGATCTTGCTATATCCGACGAAGACATTTATCTAGGTATTATTACACATCCTCCTCTTTCACAATGAACTCAACTGAACATATTCTGAATGAATAACAATTAAGCTTTTTTACCTTCCCAGCACGAATATTTTTCTGAACTTTTCAAAGAAATGTACAAAATTTTATTCTCATAGGGTAGTGGTTATGCCATTTTATTTTATGACAATGCAACGTCACTTCACTTGTAGCTTACCTTGACCAGTTGCTTAAAATAATACTACACACAATAATTCTGTCAATATATTGACTACAATATGACTATTGTGGTCATTTTCGAATTCATGGGTATCGATACAAAGCTAAAAATTGTTTGCTCTACAGGATGTAATAGTTTTTAAATATCAAAACTAGCTCATTTCATCTGTATTACTTATATAAAAACCAAGAAAACCGTAATGCGATGACAGAAAACGGTTAATAATGTCATCACCTTACCGTTCATATAAACGCTGCAGTATTTGAACGACAGGTCATACTTTGCTTCAAACCTTTTTACATCTCTTATAGAAGTCATCGGGATCTATAAAATAATATAATATGCGCTTTATTCCTGCTCACAAGTGTGAGAAAATAAGCGTTGACGCTGAAAATGCCTCATCGCGTTACCTACGGACAAGCGGTATTTGGAGCTAACAGGGAAACAACGGTGTCTGATGGGATCCGTAATAATATATCGCTACTATATCTGTTCACTCAAATTTCAACGAATACCGTCTCAGCTTAGAATTACAGAATATGTGGATAGTTTAGAATGTACTTGGTGTTTTTCGAATAGTTTACGATAGAAAAGTGACAAAGACTTGCGGTTTACGCCATTTTATCGTAAAAATCTGGAGTTATCTGCTTATAAAATAGTCAAACGCAGGCTTTAGGTCTACCATACTGTAAACGCATCAACTTAAATCTAAGAGACCGCCATTTTGAAAACTTCTGTTGGATTTTTCGTCCTAATAAGCCTAGCCGGAGCAAAATTCGCTCTACTCAGTTATTCAAGTCAGCGATCTATTTTAGTGCCGACGCGGTATTTCATAAGTTGGTATATATGGCTATTTTCTATTGAATGATTTAAAAAGTTTTCAAAAAAAATTGGTACATCTTATTTCAACGTCTATCACCTGTATGAGTTCCACGCCATTTGGACTTATTAGTAATAATTAGAAACTGTGAAAAGAACCTAAATTTTCGAATTAAAGTCAATTTCTAAAATTCTGAGCTTATGCTACTCTTGTAGAGCACATTTTTCTCTACAAGATGATATCTTATTCAACTTTCTACGAATTCTGGATAGACTGGTTGAAATCGATCAATTTCATCTTGCATACGTCAGGTGTCGCCTTGTAGCCGAAAATACTGAACTTCCAAAAATGCTGCAAAAAGCGACACCACGTATGGAAGATAAAATTGATCGATTTCAACCAGTCTATCCAGAATTCGTAGAAAGTTGAATAAGATATCATCTTGTAGAGAAAAATGTGCTCTACAAGAGTAGCATAAGCTGTGAATTATAGAAATTTGGTTTAATTCGCTGTAACTGTTGTTATACTTTAATTCGCTGTAACACTTTATTATTAATTCGAAAATTTAGGGAATACAAAAATCGATACCCTGTTTGAAAATTAAAATTTGAAAAAAATTCATACTACACTAAATGCAAACTTTGTTTTTCAAAAATTTTGAATCGGCAGTCTGTTCAGTTTCTCACACTCTTTCGAATAGAATATGAACGAATTTTTTTTGGTTTAACTTTAAATGCAAAATAGTTTAGTTTACTGGGGCCAGTTTCTTAAAAATAACTCAAGTGAAAAATTCGTCTTGAGTCAAACTTTTTAGCTAAGTATGTTTCCCAAACCATACTTAACTTAAGTCACCTCTCGATCCCACTTAACTTTTCACTTAAACTTTTAAGTAGGAAATTTGAAGAATTTGAGAATTATTTGAAGTCCGTAACCCATCGAACTCACCATAATTAGACTGAACATAATTTTTCAGAGATTTTATTCAGAAAGTTGCTGTAAAATAATCTAAGTTGTCTAAATTATGAATGGTTTCTACTGCATGACCTCTGCCTGACTTAAGTTTCTTTTAGAAACGCACCACGGTTCACAGAGATCGATTTTACACCAAATATGGTAAAACTTCTAGGATATGATTTACCCCATCTCACTCTATTTTCGAATTTGCATCATGGTGACCTATGTTAGCTTAGATATGATGATTGAAGCAACATCGAAGACATCGAAATTTTGCGATTCGAAATCTCCATTAATCATAATAACTATTTCTCCACCAAGTTGAAGGAACCTTTAGAACTATTACCTATTTATAAAAAAAACATCCTGCCTATGGATGTTATCTATAGATCATCAAAAAATAGGAAGAAATCTGAAAAAATTCAGAAAGAGTGCAAATTGGGAAGAGTTGAGAGCCGTGATCAGGTGCATTTCGTAAGTGGAAAGTAAAGATCTCCTAAAAGTACTGAACTACATATTTTTACATATTTTAGATTCATCTGACCACACGTTGTTGATAATTAATGTTATTTACTAGTTTATTGTTTATTTTCTATATATATCTTATAGAAAGTATTATTGTCTTGTTTCTTTCTTTCTTTCAATAGTATCATACTAACTATTGTCACAAAGAAAACAAAAGGCAAGATTTACACACAAATACAAGTAACAAATTAAAATTAAAATTAAAAAAAAACAAGCAACCAACCAATCAAAAAACGCCTATCATAATGATATAGAATGCAAAGCACTGAGTAAAAAGAGAGATTCAAGACAGAACACTTCAAAAAAAAGAAAAAACACATATACAGAACAAGGAAAAAGGAATAGTACAACCAATAGATGTCTTCTTTTCAGTATACAGAAAGACTAAAGGTTGAGTAACAAACGTTTCAAACTTAGGGATAAATACACACACACATTAATAAATGTCATGGTACGAAAAAGAAATATATTTACATCGATTAAAATTGCAGTCAACCTAAACAGTTAAAATTAAAACACTATATGCACAGGAAAAAGATAATGTGTCATGATTATAATTAATTATTTTTAATATAAAAGAAATGTTTGTTCACCAAATAGAAAAAACAACAACAGATGTGGTTTAAGCATAGATATTTTTTGTTTTGTTTGTTTGTTTGTTTGTTAGATGTATTAGATGTATAGCTTAGAAAAAAACAAAATTGCTGGGTGCGCGCGCTATGCGATAGAAAAAAAACAAAAGAAAAACAAACAGCTGCCTCTTGTGATAGAAAAATAAACAGATTTTCCAAAAAAGTAAAACAACAATGAGAGAAGTTGCACTAGTCTAGATTCTCAAAAACACGCACGCTAGAAAGAAAAAAAACAAGAAAAACCGCACACAAAATTTCTAACTGTTCAACAAGAAAATAAGATGTTTAATAATGCACAATTATATAGTGTACTAGTAAATATTGTAAAGAAAAAAAAAAATTGCATATAAAAAAAAATTTGTGTCATGAGAGAGAGAACCCGGTAGTTTTTTTGTTCGTATTTTATTTTTCATGGCAAGAGCATATTGCTGTGGCATACAACTTGACTAGCTCACACCGGGAAATCGTTGTTTGGTTTGTTCGAAAGATATCTGAACGATGATAAAAGTTTTAAGTCGTTTGTTCGGCACCACTCAATGCATCAACTGGTTTTAATTTTAACGATACTTGTAAAGGTTTTGTAAGTTTCGATTTAACAGGTAAATAGACCATACATGGAACAAATAAATCTTTATATAAATCATCATCACTTTCAACAAGAAATGGTTGCATCGATAATAATAAATCAGTATTTGTTTTTAATCCTTTTTCATCTTGATTAAAATCAACTTCAGTGGAATATTTTCGATGAATACCGTTTGTTAATTTTTCTCCTTCTTGATTTTGTTGTTGTTCATCTTCATCACCATCCGAAACGGATAATTCACATTTTAGCGTAGCTGGTGAAAGTGATTGAGAATGTTCTGCTTTCATTATAGATGGTTTTGTTGGTGGAACAATAATTGTTGTCGTTTGAGGTATAATAGATGTTAAAGAAATATTTTGTGCAGAAGATGATAATGACTTGCGATGATTAGTATTTGATAATTTTGATATAGAAGTATTTGAAGTTGAACTAGATGATGTTGAAGACGATACAGACATCAAACGTAAATCATCCAGAGAAATATTGTGAACATTTGACATATGAGCACGAAGAAAATATTTATTACATAATTCCTAGAAAGAAAGAAAATAAATGACTCATTTTTTTGATTTTAAAAAAATATCTTAAAACAAATTTAGAACATACTTTTTTGCATACTTGACACGTAACTCTTAATTGTACTTGTGGTGTCGATTTTGATTTTGAATTATTATTTGACAAACGTCTCGATGATTTTGTTGCTGTAGTTGAAGTTGTTGATATTGTTTCATTTTCTGTTACCGTTTTTGCTGATTGTTGTTGTATTCCATGAACATTTGATAAATGAACATGTAATAAAAATTTTGATTTAAATGGTTTCGAACATACATCGCATTGAATTTCCTCAAATGTTTCATCTATACCGTTATTTCTATCATAAAAACCACTGACAGCTGATGTTAATTCATCTGGACTTGGTACAACTAAAATAGCACCTGGTTCAGCGCTTTGTTGTTGAGATTGAGCTGAGGTGGAATTAATATCAAAAATAAGTGGTGTATTTTCATTTTCTAATTTTGTTGTAACAGGAATTTGAGGTTCACTTTTTATCGATGGATAATCATCATTACTGGCACCGTTTTCAATAACGGATGCGCCTATGGAAGACGTAGGTGGCGAATTGATCGAAGTTACACTAGTAGTTGTTTGTGTATCAGATGACACACCATGTACTTTTAATTTGTGAGTTTTGAGAAAATATTTATTACATACTTGTTTATGGCAAACATCGCAAGAAACACGATCAGCCATTTTAGCTATAAATAACAAAAGAAATTTATTATCAGATATGAAATATAAAATAAAATATTAGCAAAACTAACTATTGTATCATTGCATAATTCACCTACCTGCAAAATAAGTATCAACAATTCCACTTATTACTGGCGTTGCTTGACTAGTCGAATTTGACGTTGTTGTCAATAAATTAGGTTGTGGTGATTTGATTACAACTGATGTTGTTGTAGTCGTTAAAGTTTCGTTTGGTTCTAATTTAATTTTTGATAATTGTTTTAATGGTTTAGTTGTTTTTTGTTGATGCTGTTGTTGAGAATGATCTGACGATATGATACTACCGGGTTCACCGCTATGTAGTCCATGTTTATTAATCATATGTAAATGTAAAAAATCGTTGGATTGAAATTTTTTTCCACATAAATAACATGTGGAAATATTTTCGTTTGTGTTTGAATCAAGTGATTCACGAGAATATTTGTTCGTAGCTGGAGTAGTAGAAGATGTGTTAGTACCATTTGTAGTAGATGTAGATATCGTATTAGCTGTTGCTGCTGATGCAAGTAATTGACTAGCGAATGCATTGGCAACATCGGATGCAACAGTTAAATATTGAGCTGCTTCAAGAACGTTTGACGAGGAAGTACTGGTTGTTGATGATGTAGTTTGATCGCGTTTCAATGATGCAAAGTTCGATGGAAGTTGAGGGATAAGAGGAGAAAATATTGGATTTAATAATAAACCAAGACTTTGTTGAACAGAAGCTAAAAGAAAATTATCTTGATATAAAAATGCGTTTGCTTTCCATTCGGTAACGAAGAAAAACGCCGTTAAGGTTAACCCTCCTCTTATTTGACCCTCTTAGAAACCGCGAAAGGTGATGTTTGATCGGGATGAAATTTATATCAGAGATAGAACATCGAAAAAGAAAATCGATGTATTTTTGCCCAGAATTTTCTGACGTGTTCTTTTATGGGTTTTCTGGAAAACTTCAGTTTTCATCAGGTCATGTTACGACCTCTCGAAAAAATGGTCCAGTCGAGGTGGAGATTTTACCATAGATACTATACACCCTATCTCAAATTCTTTTCTTTTCTTTTCAAAAAATAGGCTTTTCTTCTCGAGATATCCGAAAAATGCTGAAAATCAGACAGAAAAACTGGCTTTTTTGCTTGACTTTCAGCATTTTTCGGCTATCTCGAGAAGAAAAGCCTATTTTTTTGAAAAGAAAAAGAACGAACTTGAGATAGGATGTATAGTATCTATGGTAAAATTTCCACCTTTACTGGACCATTTTTTCAAGAGGTCGTAACGTGACCTGATGAAAACTGGAGTCTTCCAGAAAATCGTGGGGGTTCTCGGTATCTCTGAAATTTTCATAAGTTTTACTTAAGTTTGTGCTCCCAGATCGTACTACCACTGTGACTGGTGTCATAGCGATTTCCTCTGACACTTTAGTGATCACTTACCAAGATCGAGTTTTAAAAGCTGTCTGATATGTAAAAACGCTGCTCGGTTCTGCGATTCCCACGTAAATATTCAAGAAAGTCTTAAAAATCGTGATGATTTTCATTCACAATTCTGACTAAGAGTAAGTCTTATTTCTTATGTTAGACGGACATTCTTTGACTTTTTCAGCGGCAACTGTATAGGCTCCTGCATTTTCTACTACAGATATGAACAAGTGCTCACTATTAAATGAAACATTTGAAAATGCTTGCGGTGTCACTGGAACATTAGTTGAGATAATAGATGTATTTTGCTGAGTAGTAGTTGAGGATGAAGACTGTATTTGTGATGTGTTTTGCGGTTGCTGTTGTTGTGATTGTTGAGAATTTTTCGTTGAATTATCGATACGTTTATATGGTTTAATATTACAATCAGTGTACACACCATGAACATCCAATTTATGTTTCTAAAAAGATAGAATAAGTAAATAAGAATGTGAAAGTTCTGTATTGTACAAATAACCTATTAGACACAGATTGATAACTTTTCTTGAATAGTCGATTGCTTAGTTTTCCAATAAAAAAAAAACTTCGCCCTCCTAACTAAATATTCCGAAATTATGAAAAGCATTACGTACCCTTAGATAGTATTTGTTGCAAAAATGTTTTTGACATAGATCACAAAAGTCTTCCGGTAGTTTTGCCGATGATTTTGATGTTGGTGTTCCTGATAGACTTGTGTTAAGAATAGATCCATCATTTCCACTATTTGTACCGCCTACTGAACATGTCGAATTCGTTCCATCGTCCAAACAATGACTAGGTAAATCAGTCTCATTTTCTGTTTCGTTTCCAACAACTAATCCTTCATCTTCGTCAATAATCATGGAAGAGGGTGATGAGAGACGACGATGACTACTGAGATCATTCAAATCATTTATATCATTTGCATTTAAAAGTGTTGATATGACTGTCAATGAATTTGGTGGAGAATCGGTTAAAGTAGTGGTAGTGGTTGTTGCTGTGGGAGATGATGATTGATCGAATATTCCATGTTTATTGGCCAAATGGGTTTTTAAGAAATATTTATTGCAAAATTCCTAAATAAAAAATAATAATAATAATAATAAAAGATGAAATTAGAATGCGACATGTTTCTATCTGAGAAAAATAAAATCTTTCTTACTTTTCTACAAATTGCACAAAAGGCATCAGCATGAAATATTTTTTTTGGTTCATGTTGTTGACGTTTCATTCCATTGACGATCATATTATTACTCATCGATTTTATTTGTGAAAGTTGATTATGATGACTTTTTTTAAATGCTTTTGAACTTGTATTTATTTTTCCATGTACAGTTCGTGCTAGAGAACCGTTACTTGTTTTTGATTTTTCTTTTAAACTAAAATCAAGTACTTCTTCCTCTTCATCATGATTATTATTTGTTGGAGCGGAACTAGATGATGAAACATTTCGTTCTTGTTGTTCACCATTCATATCTGTTGTATTTCGTCGTTGACGTTGTTGTTTTTCGGATGTACGATTAATTATATCTTCCATTGCATAATGTTCTTCGGGCATATATGATGATGGTGAACGAGATGTATCACATGAACCATCTTCACAATTTAAACTAATTCGATCACACGTATCACGTTCTTCTTCTTCTTCTTCTTCATCTTCAATCATACTTGCAGCTACGTGATACAATGTGTGATATCCACTTGACTCATTTTCAGATGTCGATGCTTTCAATGTGGGTGATTCAGATTCAGTTTCTAATGATTTTGGACTAGCAAGATCGGTTTGATCCGCTGATGGTGTTGTATTTGTTGTTGATGGGAGTGCATCGGCACGATCATTAGCAGCCAATCTATCAGAAGGAGAGAAAAACAAAAGAATAATAGTCGATTGAGTTTTTTTTTGTTTATTTAAAAGCTGTTCAAAGAATTAAAATATCTTTTTAACATTGATTTTGTCTAATATTCCTATGTTTGATGTCGCTTTTTCATCAACATTTGATAGATTAGAAGGTAGCGACTTTTTATATTCTTCGTATTAAAATTTCACATTTATCAATTTTTCTTTCTTTTGTTTTGCTACTTGTTGACGTCAACCAACATTCTCATTCATATTTCATTAATTTCAACTGGTTTTTCTTCTTTTTTTTTTTATTTTTTTTCTCTTGGTTTTTTTCTTCATTCTTCTTCTCCTGTTAAAAAGATCTCTGATCAATTAATTGAACAAAGAAAGGCGAACGAGCGCGTCAAAAAATTTATTTTTTTTTATTAGATCATTTTCAGTATTTATTATGCTCCAGAACAAAAAACTAATTTATCACATTTACTATGAAATGATGTCAAACATAGTTTAAAAATTGAAAAAAAAAATAAATTAATGTCTACACAACGACTACGTAGACAAAAGAAGATGAAAAAAACTTTTTTTTCAAGTGATCAGACAGAAATATTCCCATATGTAACAAACATTTGAAATGCTTCAAAGATTAGAGTCTTAAGAATGGCTAATGATATTAGTTTTTTTTTTTGTTTTTTTTTTTTTTAGTCTTTAATACATTATATAGAGATAAAATGCGAAACAATTGCAAAAGCAAACTAAAGTCCGTAGAGGTGGTTTACTTTATGATGCATGAGCATTTTGAGACACATAGATAAAATAAATTCTAATGAACTTTGCTATGTTTTTTTCTTTTTTTTATTGTCGAAAATATTATTTTTCAAAAGAGCATCTATATTAGAAAAGACTCTATCTGTTTCTCCCACAGTCGTATATTTCAGAAGAGAGTATTATTAGAGTTTTGTATTCTGTTTTTTTTTTGTTTTTTTTTTAGTTTTTGTATTTAAATGAGTTTTTCTCAGTGTGATGCATCTTTCCATCTATCTATTTGTCGTCAATCATTTATTTCATTTTTTATGAGATATGCATTTTTTATTTTTAGTTTAAATATTCACAATCATTGATGAGTTTCGTTTCCGTTTTTTGTTCAATCTGTCAGAGACGTTACAACCAACATTCTCCTTTCTCTCTTCTATATTATAGATTTTTTTTTATATTTCTTTTTTTTTTTTTTTGTCTTCTTTTTACATTACTTTTATTTTTTTTTTTCATTTTTATTCAACACCACTAGTAGAAAATGTTATCTTTTTACGATGGGAAAGGGAAGAAGGAGGCACTTGATGAACACAACAAAATTTTATTTTTTTATTTGATCTGTTAAAATTTTACGAGAAGAACAATTACTACCCATCATTCACTATACAAATAAGACTATCCAAAGTGAACATCTTCTATTCCAATCAGAATTGTTAATTTTTTTTCTTTTTTTTTTTTTTTTTGTCATATGCTCAAAAAAATTGACTATTGTCATTTTAGAAATGTACAGAGAAGGAGGACACAAGTGCAAAATAAAACTGAAATAGAAAGATGGGATTTTCTTTTTTTTTGATGAGAAAATTCATAGATATTAAAATGAGCAGTAACAGTTCATTGTTTTTTTTATGAACAAAGAGAAAATAAGTTTAATTGAAACTAAAAAAACACAAATCAAACTGTAAATTTATCAATATTAAGTTCGTATTTCACTCTTTTTAAAAAAAACGAGTGAAATATATAAAAGATGAAGATGATGAGAATGTCGATGAATTTCTTAATAAAATTTCAAGTTGAGAAATAAACCTGCTTCGACCTTTAAAGAATTTAGATTCATGAAAACAAGGTTATAACTTGACAGTCTAAAAATCTTGTTTTATCCGAGAAATGGATGACGAAAAAACACAAAAAAAAAAAAATGTTCAATGAATACATTTTCAGTTTTATTGACCAGAATCGTTGCAGATTTGTCGTTTAGGAAGTACAGAAAAATGTAATATTTGCCCATTTTTCAACAGCCTATAGTTTTTGTAATTGATCCTATTCTTCTTCCTTTTATTTTTTTTTTTACAAATTTTTTTTATTAATTTCACATTCTATCACATATAGTTTTTATGCGACTCTCTTTCTTTCTTTCGACTTGACATTGCTTCTATTCTCTGTTTCTTTTCTTCAATTACTTGTAGAAAAAAAAAAAAAAGTGGTAATAAAATCAACTTTAAATTTGTGTTTTGCATTTATTGTTTTTTTTTAAGTGGAAGAGACGTTCTGCTCTTCAATTTCCATACACATCATGTTTCTTTTAATATTTCTCATTTTTTTTTTTTTTTTAGATAATATTACCTAACAAAAATAGACAGCCTTCTAATGAAAAAAGACGAAACTAAAAGTTAACTATTCTTGAGTGTAGAATATTTTCTCGTATTTACACAAAGAATATCTTCTCTTTCTCAATTAGTGAACAACATCATTAAAGTATTTAAAATTCCATTGTGTGTATCTATCTAAACATTGTCCTTTTCTCCTTTTTTTTTTCTAAATTAATGTCTAAAAAGTAGCGACATTGACTTGGGTGCAAATTTGGATCTAGCGGAAACGATTTGATTTAAAGTAATACGCTCTATTTTTCTCATGGAAAAAAAACAAAAAAAAACGTAGTAAAATTTTACGATGACAAGACAAGAATCAGCCAATTCATACAGTTTTTTTTCTTCTTCTTCTTCTATCTTTAATGATTGTTTTATTAAATTAGAAAAAAAGCTCATTTTTTTTTCTTTCTCTTTTTTTTTATCAAGACCTAGAACAATGTGTAATAAAAATTATATTTTGAATAACTTTTTGTATACCCACACATATAGATAGATATATATATATATATGTTACCTCTGTATTAAAATTAAACCAAAATTTAGAATGTATAGAGCGTATCCTTCGTCAAAAAAACAAAATATAAGTTTTAAGGATTAGACTTTTTCTATTTGCAAAGTTTGATGTAACAACAGAATCTAACCCAGAAAGATAAGAAAATAATTTAGAATTTATAAATAGAAAAAAATTCTTAAAAAAAAAAGGAATTAAAAAGATGACATTATTTTTTACAGAAAATTTTCTATTTCATCAAAAAACTTGAACAATGAGTTATTGGATTCTCTTTCATTTAATAAAGTTAATAGTACAATGAATGATGGACTGTTGCCAAAATTATTACGTTGTGCAGAAAAAGTCTGCTTTTTAGCGACTATAGTGAACGACAGGGCCATGTTTGACTGAAAGTGTGATTCAACAAAACATTTAGTTTTTTCATAATTAAAAAATATTTATCTAATCGATCAAAAAACTAAAATAACAAAAAAACGAAATGTTAAACTGACCTGTTTGGTTTACTTTGTTTTCGTCTATTTGAATTTTTATTAAGAATTGAATTTCTTAAATTTTCATGTTGATCCGAACTTGAACAAGTATCATCAGCATTATTATTTGCCAATGAATCACAATTGTTTATTGAATTTTGATTTAACGGTGTAGTTGTAGGTGATACGGGATTTTGTTCATGTTCTAATATTGGTGTAGGTACTATGATTATAATATTATTAATATCGTCGTTGTCGTTCATTCAGAAAAAATTTTTAAGAGAGGAGAAAAAAGAAATTGAATGATTTTAGATAAAGAGTTTAAAGTTTTTAAGAACACGTATTGATGCCATCGATATAGAATACCTTTTTTTGTTGTTGTTTTTTTTTTAGTCTAAAATGAGAGAAAAATAAATTAAATTTGTGTTTTGTGTAGCGTAGAGTATGATTCTTCTCTGAGTAGAATTCTATAAACGATTTTTTTTTTTAACGTTTCATTCTATCCTGTTATATCCAAGAAGTCTAATTAGATTTGATCTAGAATAATGAAAATATACGTATGTTCGCTTATAACAATCGTGTGCTCTATTTCTAAATGCAGAAAAAAAAAAAAAAAAAAAAAACTTCACGCCACAAACAGATAAATGAAAAAAATTATAGCCATGTGTCCATAGACATAGAACGGCTTTGTTATATGCACATATCGTGATATATACTTGCCTCTTTCTGTTTCTGTGTTGAACACAAAAAAAAAAAAAAATTTCTTATTTTAAAAATTTCATTCACTGTTATCTCGCAGAAACATGTGACTGAACGAAATAATAATCATTAGACAACAAGATCCGAGTAAAAGGAGACACATAAAATATGAAATAATGGTGTTCTGGAAAGATTTTTAAGTAAAATGTTTCGTTTTTGTCTGTTGACTATTGAAAAATAGTCAAATTTGATAGACTCCTCCTTTCTCTTTCTATCTCTTTGAAAAAAAAACAAACGTAGTAAAAATTAGTCATTAAAACGTAAAATCTTTCTAAAAATGTGATGATCTCTCAAGAGAGATAGAGAAATTGATTCTTTAAACTCGTTTCGTTTTTTCTTACATTCAAGCGCGAGTGCTCCATGAAGTGAAGGATTTGTAGCACATTGAAACCTATTACACGCATAACTTTGAATAAAAAAATAGAGAGAAAAATGGTCGCAGTTGAGCGAAGTCAAGTATCAATAGTAAAAAATAAAAATAAAAAAAAGAACAAAGTTTTCCGGAATTTTTATGTAAAGTATTTTGGTTTTAAAAATCAAAGATATCTATCTATCTATCTATCGTATGATCTACAATATATTGAACATATATCTATCTATCTGATGTTAGAATAGTATTCAAAAGTTTAAAGTTAGATTTTTTTTATTAAAAAAAAATCGCTTACGTTAAGTGGATTAAAGAAGTGTGTATTAATTGTATTAATTACAGAGAAAGTATTAATCGATTTGTTATTTCTACTTGGTTTATTTATATTGTTTTGTACGGTTAAGGAACACATATACACACACACACACACACACACACACTATTTTTTTTTTACAGTTATTCGTTATACATGGAAAAATTTTTGGGGTCTATATATTGTATGAAAGCAAAAGAAAATACTTTTTTTTTGTTTTTTTGTAACTTTTAACTCGCATATACGTATACAGCTAGTTGCGCTTGAATGATTTTTACCTTTTTGAAAAAAATTTTTTTTTAAATTGACTACAATTATAGGTGTAATGTATCTGTATCTTCTATAACGAAACGGCAAAAAAAAAAAAAAAAAAAAAATTTTGTCCCTCTATGTCATATTTTTTAAATAGAATAACAACATATCAAAAAAAAAAACTGAAGGAGAATATAAAAAAAAAAAAAATGTCGAGTAACTAACTATAGACAGATTTTTCCTCTTTCTCTTTTCTGTAAAATGGAAATTTCAACTTTTTTTTCAATTAATATCATCACTCTATACGATTCTCTCGAATCGAACGATTGATTTTCTTCTGTTTTTGTTTTTCTCTCTCTTCAGTAGCATCATCAGAAAAATTTATTCTGCAAATGTGTGTCTATATTATCTCTTGAAAGTAAAATTTGTTTTTTTTTTTTTTTGGTTTGTATATAAAATGACTGATGATCAGAAAAACGGAAAGAAAAAAAAAAAAATCAAACTTCTCCTCAAGGATTGATGATATCGATCACTCTGTCTGTTCACAGATGTTCAAATCAGTAGAGTTCGTTTGATGAACATCATTTAAGTACATTATTAGAAAGAATTAAATAAGATATTTTTAAAATGAAAAAAACTCGAACATCTAAATTGATACAATAAAATCTCGACAAAAAAATGCCAATCATTTGCCAGATGTGTGACTATCTACATAAATTTTTTTTTTCTAACTTTAAAACGTATTACCGTTTAGTCAAAAAAAAAAATCTTTTTTATTAACATTAACAATAGTAAATAGAAAGTTCAAATATTTGTAATTTTCAGAATATTTTCACTCATGTTGGTATTTGATTGAACTCAACGGTTTTTTTTTTCTCTTTTTCTTCTGTTCATCGTTTTATTTTGACATACTGCTTATGCGACCTATTCATATAAACAAATGAAGATATAAAATGTGATTTTTAAAAGTAGAACGAACACACACACACACACACACAGATATAATTTTAATGATAAGAATGATGAGTAGTCTGCTGTCAGATAGAGCAAGATGAAAAAAATTTATTATCTTAGAAAAGTATGTTATTGTTATAGTAAAATGAAGAAGAAAAAAAAAACTGCTCGCTCCTTCGATCTATCATTTTATTTCCTTCATTCAACGGTATGCTCGCTACTGCTGATCACACAATTTCAAATAAAACATAGAACAAGAAAAACAAACCATATTATAAATTAATCTTTTTAATATGTTTATAACAGTTTTACCAATCATTTTGAATAAGAATGAAGATACACACACACACACACATATATATATATATATACACATTTTTCTTCTAATGTTCAAGATTGTCGTACAAAATTATTTGTCTCAGAGAGTTTCTCTACTAATCATGTTAAGAATCTTTTTATTCAAATCACTAAATAATCAAAAAAATACACTCCATTTCTAGCTAGACTAATAATTAAATAGTATTCTATCTAAAAATAGTACATCTAAGAAATGTTACACGTACACACATTTAAATAAAGGTAAATGAACTCATAAGACATTTACATTTCGCTCTATCAGTTAGAAAAAGTATGAAAGAAATTTTTAAATGTATCAGTTATATGAAAAAGTGATTTAATTGTATAAAAAGAGATAATTGTTAGACAGTTACAAATCTACTTAGAACAATCTAAATTAGTACTTCCTATTTTGTGCATGTTTATAAACATAAATGAAAAAAAAAATTATAAAAATACTGAACAAAAACTAAATTCCGGTATATTGTACAAGAATTTCAAATTTAAGAAATAGTTTATTGAGAAAGTTTTTCTTCTATACTCACTCTAGATATCCTTTGCATATATTTATGTTTGAATAAAATTCTTCGTTTTTTTTTTTTCTTTCTTTTATTTATGTTTTATTTTTTGTATGTGTGTATTCTCAGATTAATTTTCGTTTATATGAAGTCATTCCATTTTTTTTTGTTTTTTTTTTTAAAACTTTAACTCGTTCTTTTTTTTTTTTCTACTTTTTAGATTAAAGATACATTCTCTACTCTCTCTGTGCCTTTCTTATGAATTGTCGCCTCTTTATCTTTCTTGTCGGCTTTTTTATATTTAAAAAAAAAATGGGATGGTTTCTTTTTAAGAGTTTGTCATACATAGAAGAAGAACTAGAGAACATCAACGAGTTTTTGAATAAAGTTATAAAAAAATAAATCCGGCGGATGTGAATTCAGTGTGCAAAAAAGCAGGACTAGTAAAATATGCAAGATAGAGACAACTTACACACATATATATATATATATATATGAACGATAGAATACGTTATAATTAGAGACCATTTAAGTGATGAATTCTGATGATAGAGAGAGAACATTTTATTATTGAACATGGAAAAAAGCAAAAGAAGAAATATCTATTTGTTCTTCTAATATGTGTTTCTCACTCTCTATTTACATTCGAGCTAGTAGATAGAATTTGTTGTTGAGTTTTTTTTTTTTTTTTTTTAGAAGTGTTTTAATTTTAACCTGCAGGATAGATAAATTCTTTTGAAATAAATAAAAACTCTATGAATGTTTAATCAAACGTTCATTTACCCATCATTTATTTAGTAATTTAAATTTACAACACTAGGAAATAGTGGGATAAAAAAATGGGAGTGAACAACTGTGCTATGATTACCCATCTTTAGGAGAGAGAGCATTTTACTTATAAAATCCTGTCTTTTGGCTCTTTTGATTACTATTTCAAGTAGCAAGTCAAAAAAAAAAAAATCAAAAAAAAATCAAATAAGGGTGAGCCACAAGACATTTACATGTTTTATCAAAAAAAAAAAAAGCTGAAGAATTGAAACTATCATAAAATATCAGAAAGTAAGAAGATTGAATGTTCTCTAATCTTTTACTAAGACAAGTATTGAAAATAAAATTTAGCTAAATCATGCAATAAAAAACACATGCATGATGATACTGCTTACCATTAGAGAGATGGAATATTCAAGAAATGAAAACAAAAAAAGTATAAATTCTCTCAAAAATATGTTCTCAGTATATATATATATATATATATACTGTTTTATTGTAAAAGATTTTGTATTTTTTCAACTTCGTCTATTATCGTTTGTAAATGTATAAAGACTAAATGCACATACTCATTCCTATCTACTCTGTTTCTCTTTATTTCTTACTCTCTGATCTAATATCTTCTGGAAACTCGACATTTACAGTCAAAAGAAAAAGAAAATTGTTTTATTTTTATGCATCTATGTATATAAATATAAGTATACACCGCCAATCTTCTACAAAATTTTCCTAAACAAAACATTCTATCTTATATCTAGATATATATATATGTACAGGAAACAGAATTGGTAGAATTTAGTCGGTTATTATATTCGATTTTTTTGCCCGTTTTGTCTTCTTTTTACTCTACTTTAACTTCTTTTTGGTAGCAGAATTTTCTTTTCCTTTACTACATATACATAATATTTCGGAGAAAAAAAAAAATTAGTTTGTGATATCGTTCAGTGGCTCTTTTTTTTCTGATATTGTACAGTTTTTTTTTTTTTTTTTCTTTTT